TAGTCTTTATAAATTATTTATTTATAAATTGATACATCATGTTTTTCTTGCACGTATGCATCTTAGTGTACAGAATGCATATGTTATATGTGTATTTTGATTCTTTAATTTTTTGCATTTTTTATATTAAATAACATATAAAATTATGAATATTCCGGTAAACAATTTTTCGTACATGAATATGTATAAATATGTATAAATATACATAAATATTTAAATATTCATAAACATGTATAATTATATATCCATATATCCATATAGCCCTCTTTCTTTTGTAAAATTATTTTTTAGTGTAATGGAAATAATAATAGCAATGTGAAAACATAAAAGAATAATTAAAAAAACAATTTTCATATTACTATTTGTTTTAAAAAAAAATCAAGTTTGAAGAAATGTAAAAAATTACTTATGTATAATTATATATAAAATTATGCATAATTGTGTATGAGCAATTTTTTTTTATTTTTTCAAATTTAATTTTTTTCTAAAACGAACAATGCAAAAATTATCCCTTTAAATTTTAAAAAAGAAAAAATATATATATATAGAATGGACATATTTCATATATGTATATACATATTTATGAATATTTATGTACGTTTATAAGATATAGAATTTCATCTGGAATTCTAGGTCAAATTATAAATCGTCTAAAGTTATTTTAATTTCATATACTTAAATAATAAATTTAAATGAAATTAGAAAAAAAATTCAATTTCGTTCTACATATTAATGTTAATATCATGTACATATTTTCTTTCTTTTTATGTTACAAATGAATTAATAGCAATACACATATATATATTGAACGTGATGCACATTTACACATAGAATTGTTTAAAAAAAAATACACATTTTATATCAAACATTATTCGCGTACTAACGTTGCATAGTACGCATGCAAAACAATAGAGACATTGACATTTACATTCAACTGCCGGGGTTATTGTCGTTCAAGTACCTATTGAAATACATCTGATTAACTTTGGATCAGTGTGCTTGAATGAATACATGCGAACGCTCGTGCGTGCGCGGAAAGTAGAAAGCATTAAAAAGGACAACGAGCAAAACTGTAAACGTTGTACAGGTGTGCTTAAACGTATACGTACTATTCTGACTTCCGTGAATAAGTGGCAAGAATTGTAATTTTTTCTGCTTCGTTTACGAACTTTCAAGCCGGCTGCACAAACTTGAAACGCTGCGAATACATCTGGTACATTTATACACACGCGAATTGTTTCAAGCGAGATTTATTTCTAATGTACTCTTTTAGTTTGCCATTTATTAATACATTTACCAGTACTTTACCGGAGATAATATCGATATTATCTCCATTCAGAAAATGCAATGTTGTAATTCTCTTTAATGTAATTGCCCTTAGTTTTTTATTAGATCTAAATGTATAAACCAATCATATTAAAGAATAACAGTTGCATAGTTGCTTTTTATGCTAAACGTTGTCATTAAATTTTATTTTATTTTATTTGTTTTAAGATCATAAACCCTATCCTTTTATAGAATAATGATTTACAATATCTGTGATAAACACAAATACAAAATTAAATATAAAAGATTGATATGTAATTTGTTGTAAATAATAATAAAAAGAAAATTAAATGTTTGTGAGTGGAAATGTACGCTTTCTACAGTAAAAGTTTTAAACCGTGAGAAATAAGGTTCTCACATTAGATTTGCTATATTTAAGGGAATGGCAAAAAAACTTTCTTTTTCACATAGCAACATTTACTATTCAAGCAAGACACACTTAGTACGTACGTATTTAAAATATGTTTAAAATATCCTTCGATCGGAATTTCAATTAGTTCAACTCAAAAATTTCCATAAAAGTGTACATATCCAGATTAAATCAAATCAATAATGTGATAAGCTTACGATTAATTAGAATACAAATATGTGAATAATCATATATAGATGAAATTTTTATATTCAACTAGGAAATTATAAATATGCATTGCTATATAATTGAAATTGAAATCATTTCTGATATAGTAATTAATAACAGTTTTATACGGTATTATCTCGGTATTACTTCTCAGCTAAATTTAATTGACTTTATTTGGCATCAAATGAAATAGAATTATATCTGTGATATAATATTTAAAAAATTATTTGAAAATGTGTATGTGAATAATTTTGATTATACTTTCTTATACTTTTTTATTGATTAGCATCTAATATTTTCTATGCTACATTGAGGAAATAATATAATAGGTACTTGTTGAGAGTTAATTTCGTTAATGACTAATTTGCAAATGCATAGCAGATTGATAATACTATAAATCACGTAAATTACGCATTTCAATATTGTACCGTGAATGTTTTAACTGAGGAGATATTTTTATAGACTGTTATAAGATTGACTTACTCATTACTAGGTCGTGTAATCATAGTGATGTAAAAAGTATAATACAGCTGATTATTGCAATAGGGCAAAGGCGGAAAGACAGTCCTTCCTAGATTTATTTCATGCAGCCTTCGTGCATTAGGTATGTAGGTGGATAATACTGCACCTTACAGTTCATGCATTTGCACAGAGAAGTGACCCGTTGCTTTCCCTGTAAAAGCGAAGAGCTAAAATCAGGTTGACTCGTTTCTCTCTGCTCTGTATGGTCGGATCCCGACCAATGTCACATCAGTATGTGCGCATCGAGATCGCTTTTACCTTTTCATAAAGAGGGAGTGGGATGCTGGGGGTATAAAACAGAAAACAGCGCTTTTGCCAGCCAATATGTGTGTAGTTTCATTTTAGTAGACACCAGAAAGGTGTTTAGTTCTTACTTGTTTGACATTGAGTTACTATTCAAACGTGACGAGAGTCAGTATGCTGCTAGTAAGTAGACACAAGTTCAATTTACAAGTGACGTCTGAATATTTCGGATAGCAAAGTTTAGCACATTTATATCTCGTGTACAGAAAAATAGTTGCTAAGAAAAGTGATTACTCAGATTTATCTTTTTTTTTTAATAAAAAAAATTATTTAACAAATAATGTTTTCTTTATAATAGTCTTAAAATATACTTCCTTAAATTTCAAAAACTCATTATTGTGCACTCAAAACAAGAATTTCTTTTCTTTTAAAGAATATTATAAAATTTCCTCAAAGAAACGACTTTACACATGTAATAAGCAAATCAAATTTTTTTTTTAATTTAATGATCTTGATTGTTAAATATTAAACTTTAGCAGAGCGCAGAATACATTTTAAATAAATGATGCTTGTGATGAACTTATGATGGATTTGCGGAATTATATATTATTATATATATATTATATGAATTTAAAGTAAATGATTTTAAAATATTTGAAACAATTAGTGATTATAATATTTAAACACAGTATGTATAATATCTTTTTATGTTTAATATTTCGCGTATTAAATGTCATTTGTCAGTATTTAAAAATACATAAAAATGGAACAAATAAAAATACTCTATTTTTCTTGTATAATTATATTTAATTAATTTTTCAGATTTACATAATATACTCTTATTATAAGTATATTTTGTTTAGAGGAGGTATTTTGAATGAAATTTTGATATATTATCACAATTTTAAAATTATGCATATTACTTTTTTTTCTGAAAGAAATTTTGATTTAAATTATTGGAATAATTTGTGATTATAACCGCAATATTCTTTTAATTTTACATTAGGTGACATATTGATTAGTTTCTCATTATAATTATCTTTTCAGAGCGCAGTAATTTGTTATTGTATGATAGCTGCGAATGCAGAACCGCCTCTGAACAGTATGTATTGCTATTATGTTGCTTTCTGTATTTCTGTATTTCCGTAAAAATCTTATATGCGTACTAAAATTAGAGTTGAGAACATTATTTTATAAACATAAATTATCGTTTTAATACGTTATTTTTTATAAAAAGTAACACAATATAATACGTTATTTTTTATAAAAGTAATACAATATTATCATTATTATTACTTAGAAAGTAATTCGTTATGTAAAGTTAGATATTGAATTTGAAAATTATATTATTTAATAATCAATATTAAAAAAGAACTCTAAGCCAATTTTTATACATATAGTAAGTTTTTCTTTATATTAAACTTATATAATATATATATATAAATTGTGTATAATTCTTCATATTTATATTTTTATTATTGATTATATATTTATTTTTAAGAATTTACATTCATAAAACGCTTCATAAGCGCTTCATAAACGCAAATTTTATTAAAAATTTATAATAATAATACACATTATATGTATATTTTTAATATTAACTTATCGGAATGCAGCCTAAGATTTAAAGTACAAAATATTTTTCAATATTTAAATTTCTATTCAATCAAAAATAATGTATTGAATAGGCATTAAAAAGATAACAGGAAATTAAAGTTATAAAGGATAAAAGTAACGGTTGAATTCATTGTAAAATATAACGACGTTACATTTTACTATTATAAATAGAAAAAAAAAATAACAACCGTTGTCTTAAAAAAGTAATCATAACAATAACGATGTTACAAGTAACTCGTTCTTCCCGACCCTGTTTAATTCTAAGATTAATCACAGTACTTCCTGGCAAACATCAACTAACAATAACATAACTGTCATCATTTCTAATTCAACAATATAACTGTTACATGTACATAAGCTACATGTTATTAATTATATTATAATGTGAAATTGTTGAATGGGAAACTAACTATAACTAACTATTATATTACTGTTAGTTGTACGCTGAAGCGAATAAAATATTCTATTCTATTATTGTTAGTTGGTGTTCGCTGAGAACATTAGTAATATATTGAAATCTTCAATATATTGAAATCTTCAATTAGAAATAAATTGACTTCAATCTCTACCCATTTTATTTTGTAGGCTACTCTTTTACTAGCGGTAGCAATGGGTACGATTACAGTAACACCGTTACTAGTAATGGATACTTGGGATCTAAGGATAGCTATCGAAACGGTGGAAGCTTTTATGGTGCTTTTACTGGAGACATCAATCACAAATTACCCAATCATGTCAGCGCTCACTCGTTAATTAACATCGGTAATCAGGGACATCAAAGTAGTATCGGAGGAAATGACGTAGGAAACAGTTATAACGGATATTCCGCGAACGATCAAGGAAATGAATATGCAGGATATTCCAATACTTATGAGAATTCTGCTAGTGAATCTTACACTAAACCCATTTATCCAACGTCTTCACCACTCAGAGGACATATTGATGCTAATAATAACGAGGAATCGATTTTTAATGCGTATGCAAGCGATTCGACTCACAAAGACTCTGATTTTGGTCAATATGCGGCTAGTAGTAGCAGCAGCAGCAGCAGCAGTAGCAGCAGCAGTAACAATAAAAGAATACCCACTTATTCCGGATACTCCAGGCCAACCCAGATATCAGACAATTATCCTGAAAGTTCTACTGATAACGGCATACAGGGATATCTCGATTCATCTGGCTCTTCAAGCTATTCCGAAAGTGATCACATTTACTCGCCTTATTCGCCAGGCGGTTTGACTAGCGAGTACTCGTTTGGAAAGCAGAAAAACGACCCGTTGAACTTGAAAGGAGGCAATAAGCACAACGGCGGCATTTACTTGATTCCATCCGGGACACGTTACACGCGAGGAAATCCTGGGCACGTGAGCTTCAATCGCGACGTACCGTTCATATCAGGAGATTCCGGGTTGAGCAATCACTTTTCCCAAGCACACGGTACCTATTCTTCGGGAAAATTGAATAAATACGGCTACAAATTATCTCGTTACACTCCGAATAGCAGTGTAACTTACGTGTCGAGAGAACGCGATGGCTATTACACGCCTTATGGTAAGGGTGGTGGGAAAGTTATTATAATTAAGAACAATAAACCAAATTATGCCGGTCGTGTTTATTCCGAGGACCCGCTTTACGCTGGCAGCAACGGTGGTTATAGGAGTAAGAGTGGTTTTGTAAATGGTTTCTCTGCTTCGTCGAATTTTGATGGATACACTGGCAGTAATAATTATAATGACGGTCCCACTGTACCCAGACGATACAGAATGATCAGTCCTGTATTTGTGCAAAAAAAGTCTGCAACTTTGATTTAATAATTAATTCTTAATTAATTTTTGATTTAAGATCATATTTAGAGAATACAATACACATTAATTTAAGATATTTGTATATATATATATATATATATATTTATTTTATAAGTATTTTAATAAGGATATCTTCAATGCATTATTCAGAATAAAAGTATCTGTCCATCTTTCGTAAATATCCAAATGGTTATTTATATTTTTATATTTCCTATTCAATTTCTCATATAGGATAAATACTTGAAGAAGTTTATAAGTATTATGTCATATATTTAATATTAATGAATTGTTCTTGATATTTTGTTTTTAAGATTCCTTCTCCTGTGTCTTTTTTTTTCATAGAACCAATTAATTAGTATAAAAGACAAATACTTATCAAGTTCCTTAGATAGTATAAATGATAATATCTATTTAATATTATTAATCAATTTATTATTTTAAAGCAAATAAACACATATAAGATCTATGTATTTGATATGATTATGATATGTATTTATGTTTAAATATCTGAAAATCATATTTGTTCATTATTTATGATGAATATACGTAAGAATTGATATAACAAAAATATTGTAACATACATATCCAATTCTACAATTTTGATATAATAAAATTATATAATATTTAACGTCTAAACTTTGCGATGTTGAAATGTTCATGGAGGAGTCCTTGATAATTTAGGCTTGGCTAAAAATGCCTCTTCTTCTTTAGCAAGTTCTGGATCATCTTTCCATGAAGTATCGTTAATTATATTGCTGTTACAGTTATTACTATTCCTATAAATAATGCTATTACTAAATAGATTTATTTATAATAGGTGCGAATAAGCAGAAGCATTTTTAACAAATAATAAATCTAATATAATTTATTTAATAAATTCATTTATAAAAATATATAAATTGCTATATAATAAAAATGTTATATACAAAACGTATAAATAATACAAAAAATACGTGCTTGAAAAATAAATATTCAAAAGTTATGAGAGGTGCACCACAACTGTAATGATTGCGTAAAATCTCTTACTCACAGCGATGCTATACTACTAAATTTCTCTTGAATTTCTGTAAAAATTAGATTAAAAAATTTTACTAAAATTATAATTGATATATAATACAAAAATTATTTTATTTTTCTCTAATTACTTTTATCTCTTAATGTATATAAATTTACAGGAAAAATATGGATTAAATTCATAACAAATGATATGATGTATTCTAAACTGTCATTTCGACACAAGATGTTTTTTAAATAGTTTCCAACAATTTTGAAATGTGTCATCTAACTGGTTAATATTTATCTGAGTTTCTATCACTTTCGTTACGTGCTCCAATTTTCTTAAGATTCTACGTATATAGGGAAAGTTGTAAAGCTTTCACTGAATGTTGTTTGTGAATTATTTTCTTAATGTGCCAAGTTCGTAATTTCGAAATCAGTTTCAAACGACAATAGGAATGTACTGAATATACTACTATTCAAACAATAGTTAATAATGTGAAGTATACATACCCGCTTGGCCATTTTCACGATCGGGTACAAGAATTGTAGAAGATGTTACCACAGTTTCACTGCTATCCCTGTAAATCAATATCTGTTAACTAATGAACTACAGATAGCTATATAAAAATTTAATTGCAAGATTAATTACAAAATAAATTAACGATTATATTATATATTTTACTTAATTATTTTTGCGTTTAAATTGCGCGTTTAAATTATTCTTTAATTAATTAATAACGCACTTAGAAGTCCGATTTTCATATAAATATATTGTATCGTTGGGTATTGTTCTTCCAGTGAAATTTCGCTTAAAAGATTTCATCATTTCTAAAGGTAATTTTTCTAATTTTGTTTTTCTGAATTTCTCGTCATACAATTTTCCTGCATTAATCTTATCTTCTAATCTACATGACTTGGACTGATATTGTATATTATTATTATTTCTAAACTTTGAATTTACTTTTGTTCTAAATTGGTTATCGTAATCAAATTCATAACGATTGTTCTTTTTGATTGCATTTGCTGGCCAAATTATATTTTTTAATACATTTACATTTCTCTCTTGTTTTTCACATGGTTGGTTATTATATCTCATAATTAAAGAAGATTTGGTATCGACAAACTTTTTTGTAATGTTTTTGCAATTTTGAACTTTATGTGTAGAAAACGATTTTTTCGTGCCATTTGTGACAATTTGCTGTTCCTTAAAAGTGTTACCAACATTATCACATAAATAAAAATGTAGAAATTAAGTCAATATTGTGAATCTATTTTAGATATTATACCTTCAAAGAGAAATTTGACAAATCTGATAGTTTAGCGAAGATTGCTTGTTTAATATAACTTTCTTTCGGTAATATTTTTTTTTCCGTCTTGGTATTATACCTACCATATATATTATTATTATATTAAATTAGCAGTTAGGCATACGTAATTTCTATATAATGATATATTGTTAAACATAAGTCAAGACTAATTTGGCCGTTTTCTTTATGTAAAAAGTAGCTATAATATTAGATTTTGTATATGTATATGTATATTTTTTGTATATTTTGTACCTTAGCGTAGGATATGATGGATGTTTATTACAGACATGGTTCTTGTGTTGATTGCCATAAAAATCGATAGAATTCAGCGTAGATATTTGCTGCAGAGTCGTATCCGTATTTACAGTCTCTTGAGAAATTTTCGAAGAAATACTGTAACACATTGCAAGCAACGTTTCTCCATTCAATTCGCCAATATAATTTTGCAATGGATCGTTTTCGTCTAATTCACTTTCTAACACATCCAAGTCTTCCTATGAAAATGTTAGATATCCAAATTTATTTGGTATTCAGTATCATTCATATGATATTTTTGTATTTGCATTTCTTACTTACGTTGTCATCATCCCCGGTTTCATCGTTCTGCGGTGTGTTAACATTTTCGCATCTTTGTATCCTCAATACATGATCTAAATGCTTTCTATTATGCCAAAATTATTATCGTTTAAGAGATAGAAAAAGTTTTATTACTTTTTAAATCGTTTTTATGAATATGAATGTTCTAAATATCAAAGTGAAAATTCGCAATTTCGATAAAAATATAAATTATAAATCTACTAAATTATAAATCTAAATGTATATTTATAATATATTTTATATATTTAATGCGGAAATTGCTATCCTTAGAATTAGAACTTTCATTTTATTTTATATGAATAATGTACCTTATTTCCGCAGATTTCTGATTATTACCAAGATATTCTGATATATTCGAACGCTTAATTTTTTTTGCTTCCTCGTTGATTACGGGATTGTTCAAAAAATTGTTTAGCGCTCCATTGATGTACGGTAATGACTAATAAATGATATGAAAAATTCCTTTAAAGACATCTCTTGCATTAAATTTTCTAGATAAAATTTTTCTTTTCTGGAATAATTTTATTAAATGCGTAATTTTACTCACAGATGTATAATTTATTGAGAGAAGAACGATCAAGGTAGACATGAGTAATGAAGATATTTTGGACGCTCTGGCTTGTGCTAGCCGATGCAATGATAAATTCATTAAAAGTGCAGTAGCGTATTCGAGCCTATATAAACTTATGATGCGACATTTATCGTGTAGATGATTAATCAACCATTCCAGTAATCCACTCTCTATCATATATATTCGTTGTTGTCTACGTAAAGATAGTTTTTGTAACATCGCCACCATCATGTCACAAGCAAAAGGATCCACTCCGTCAGCGTAATTATTGTCGAGACAAGCAAAGGTCTGAATATCGATTGTAATTTTTATTAATGCTATAATTTTTATTAATGCTATCAATTTCACAATTATTTTATAATCGTCTTTGATAATTTTTGATAAATAAACTCGTTTGGTTTTGATGTTCTAAATGATTACAAGAACAATATGTCTAGTCGACAAAAAGTAACGTAACATCTATGTATAATTTCGTTTCCTTAACAATGAAACTGTTATGTGTTATACGATAAAATAATATAGAGTGGTACACACAGGCGGAACTTATATTTAAGATATAAATAAAAAGGAGGATTATGGTATGAGTTAACAAAGTGAAAATTGAAGTCCAAGAAATTGAAATTAAAAAAAAAACAATATTAAAACACTTATGAACTATTTTTGGTTACATCTAGGATTGCTTATTACAAGAAGCAAAGTGCGATTTCGAGTGAAACATATGGAATTTCTAGATTCTATTTAAAATTAAGAAACAAAATATGTTTTCAATAATATTACTTAAACAATACATAATTATTCGTGAGAATCAGAATAGTTTTATAATAACAAACGCTTATCATATTTTGCGTATTTTGTGACACAAAATCTTCGCAAATGTAATTCGAAATAAATAATGTAAATTAAAAGACAGATATTAGACTGATGATGGTCAAATCTTGATCGAAATGTCTACGTTATTATATGATAACTTTAAATATATTGATTTTCGTATAAACTTCTTCCGTGGCTATATGTTCCTTTTTATTTATATTTTGTATCTTTAAGCCATCTTCAAACATTTTAAATTTTATTTTAAGATCTTCTTAAGTACAATCTTAAGTCATAAGACAATCACAAAGCCATATTAGTAGTCTTAAGACATTACTTAAGTACAGTCTTAAAATAAGAACTATAAATACCGGCTATAGACATTATGTTTTAATCAGTAATTGGGTAATTATACTGTTAATTTACGTAAAAACATACCACGTTTATAACAGAGGATCCAACTGATAGATAATCTCTTCCGCATCTGAAGGATGCCAAGGTGTTTAGCAATCGCGCAGTGAATTGTTGCAAAAGATGCCTGGCGTAAGCTTCTCCTGCTGTCAACAGACATGGTAGAATTGACTTGCCATTGTCACTAGCAATCTGTCCGTGAAGTCCCAACAAATCACGACTTATATATTCATGTAGGATTTCATCCTGTTCTGCTGATTGCATGAGCGTTATTTTCTAAAAATATAGATGTGCTTTTTTTAAAGATTACTTATATCACTATTGTAAAGCTATTAATCATCTTAATACCCAACGCAATGCTTGTAACAGCAACAACTTTGTCTTTACATCTCCACTAATTAGATGTAATTTGATCTTTTTATAATCTAATAATTTGGGAGATACTGGTACTGCTGTGACATCAAGTTTAGGCAGTGTAATTGCTTTTACGTTAATACGGTCGAGTTGTAACAAGGACGGCTATCGAAAAAGTATATATTAAAAATGAAAAATTTATAGAAAAGTTTAGAAGAATATACGTTACGAGCTTTTTCTTCTTTGTCCCTTTTTTACTTACATACGAAGTCTCTCTTATATTTTGATTAAATAAATCTGGAAATATCTTCATACAAATCTCGAGTGTTCGTTGTATATCAATATTTTGCCCTTTCACTGAATTCTCCAATGCCATTGTTAATTCCCTGGCAACATCTATTAGTTTATGATAATCCGCGTGCAACTTGTGAAATCTCACTTTTAATTTTTCATAATTTGTATGTATACTACACAAACGAGATTTGGTTACTACTAATTCACGATCATATTGAATCAATCTTTTGTCTGACTTGTGCATTTTTAACAAATTGCTAACACTTTCTTCCGGATTTATTATATCTTCTCGCAAATTATTGATTATAATTTGACTTCCAATAATATGCGTTTGTGTGCTTCTGTAAGTAATATACGAATCAGATATTTTTTAATGTTTTTATTAAAATATCAGAGGAAAGACATTTTACTTTGACTTCAAACTTGTTTTAGAAAAATAATACTGCTCCTCGTCGTTATCTAGAAATATAGGTAAATCTCTATCATTTGGCACAATCGGTATATTATTCTTTATAGTTTTATTTTGTGCAACACCAGATTCCATAGCTATTGTTTTTGTTACTGGCATGGTATGAACTTGTACTAAATTCTGCAATTGCGTTTTGTTGGAATTTATATTGTCTAAATTGCTCAAATCCTATAAATTCAATATTATATATTTATAATTTTTGTACAATATTTTTTTTGTATTATACATATATAAATGTACAGTTCAAGTTTGCTTACTTGTCTGTGACATGTGATAAACGAATCTAGATTTTTTAATAGTTCATCGGCCCAAGGTTGTTCTAACATTTTGGAGAAACAAGTATTTGTATACAAATCTTCTATAAACGGTAATGCATAAAACGGCTGTAATTCTGTATCATATTCTAATTCTTTGCCATCTCCGTCCAAATAATCTTGTAATTGCTTCATATTGCTGTTATTTTTTTCAATTTCAACAGCATTGTTCTGTTTATTATTAATAATATTCTTGGACTATTAAATTATCGGAAGTATTTTATGTATTAAAAAGTATTAATATAATTGAATAATTTATTATATAA